AGGAAATACTCCTGGGGCCCGACCTAAGGCAAAATTTACTCTGATAAGTGAGGTACCTATAGAATACTGACAAGGACACAACGCACAAAGCACAACACACGCCGTTGCCTTGGCTTGGGTCAGTGCATGCACTACCCGCCGGCGCACTTGGACCAATCATCAGACGACGCTGATAACGAATCACAATGTGACTTCCATACTATTTTTTAAGTGGAGGACTGGACTGCGGTCCGGATACCGGGATAGCCACTAAAGCGTTCATGTCATGCATGGCATTGTGTCAGGATGTGTCGCGTAGCCGCCAGGCTGGCAAGCATTCCTGCTATGCAGCCTGTGCAGATGTTTCAGCAAGGATGCTGGTGTGGGGAGTGACTCAGTCGGGGGGGGGGCAACGGTATACGGATAATACTGGTGCATGGTTACTATTGGTAGACGTCGACATGGTGAACAGCTTTACTTGAACAATACTTTCATGTTCTTAGTCTAATCTTAGAGCGCAAAGTCCTGCTTTACTTCTTCTCGTTCTTCTGTCGTAGTGTTCTTTTGGACAGCTGGACTCCCAACCCTTTCCACATAACAGGTCTGCCAAGCCGTCATGTAAATAATTGCCAGTGTCATCCCGACCAGGGACCGCAATCGTCAATCACGATCTATGCTGTCAACCATGGTCGATCGGGCTGGATGCGAAGAAAACTGATGGTGTGGCCTGGGGCCGTGGGGGTATCGGTGCAGTGACTGTGTGTAAACTCCCTAGTCCCAATGCAAGGCCATCACCTACCCCTAGCCCATCATTGGCATCAATGGCAGCCGAGGCCGCTGGCAGCATCTGCATCGGATCGGCTGCACGCAGCGCTGGTAGATCTACAATCTACTACTACTACTAGTACAAGTAGATCTACGCTACTCTCTGCAGTCAGTCCAAGCAAATGAAGTCGCCAAGGCCCTGCCTTGCATTTGTAGTAGATCTACCCCAGTTTCGTGTACAGTCAGATCTCGCTTATCCAGTGCTCTTTTATCCGGATCCCTCGCCATCCGGAAGAATATCGTTGGTTACCGATTTGCAGCATATGCGGCATGCCATGCACGCATACAGTATGTGTGTTCGATTATCCGGTTCCCCCACTTTTGCGGTGGTTCCGGCCGGAGTGGCCGTCATTATTCCTGCCAAAATACTGGCTGCTGCTGCTGCTGGCAATGAAGCAGGGGGAACGCAACCGTTGAACGACGTGTGCCATCTCGTTCAGTCACTTCACTGGTCAGTGAAACTGTTGTCCACCCGACGGTCAAGCAACGCCTATGTAGCGAACAACTATCCTCTCCGACTCGGTGCTGCTGGATTAGTGGATAGCCGTGTTCGTCCCAGAAGACGCCTGGTTGTATAACTACAAAAGTGGCGTTCACGGCCAGCTCGCAACATCATAGTCTTTTTGTTTGCCGCGAATGAATGGTGTCGAGTCGAAACGCGACATCGTTTCTACAATGGCGCTTGCCACACCTGCGGCATCTTCGGCTGTGCCCGGCGCTCCGTCGTCCGACTCGGTGTACTATATCATTCTTCGGGACATCAGCGCCGAGGAGCTGCTCAAGCAGACTGGGCATGGGATCCCTGCCAGGAAGCGAGTGCAGTGCGGAGAAATCGGCGCGGTGCCGCGGGGAGAGAAGCTGGGAGCACGAGCCGGTGTGGGAAGCATCCTGATCGACATCAGTGGAGAGCTGGAGTCACAGGACATTGTCTGTGTACCGTTTTCCTTCGCCAAGCGGTTGCCCGGTGACTGTGCTGAATTTTTGTTGGCAATCGGCGAAAAGAAGAAGCGCTACGAGTTCATGCAGACAGCGGACAAGCTGGATTCCGTCAGAACAATCCGGCCCGGTCACACCTGCTCCATAGCGTGTGTGAAGCCCTACAGTGGGTTCAACGTTTTCAGAAAGAGCATGGAGCACTATGCTGGCGTGGTGCGCAGCTGTGGGCCTAGGCCTGGCCAGAGAGGCACGTGGTTTGAAGTTGAGGTTCTGGTAGGTAGAGGCTAGCACAATCATGTATTTTTGTATTTTGTATTTTATTATATTTTAAAAGGACGCCTGTCGAGGGGATCTCCTGCAAGAAGAATGAATTTAATGACAACTTTATGTAGAGGGAGCAGTTAAAGGGGAAGTTAAGGCAAAAATAAAAATTTCACCAGTTGTAGTCTTCGGGGTGCTGAGTCGAATGGTCGTGGTCCGAGGAAGCTGAGACGCTCCCTTCCTACTTGAATCCCAATCGAACTCGCGCACTTCCACCGAAACTGGGTGACTGCGCCCTACTAGATGGGGATTTGTATGCAAAATGTCACTAAAAGCGCCATTTCGTTCTTATAAAAGCATGGATGACCGCGATTGGCCCATATGTTGTAGTCTTTTGGACGCTGAGTCGATTGGTTTTGGTCCGAAAAGGCTGCGATGCAGCGTTCCTCTTTTATTTCTAATCGAACATGGTTGAACAAGCGGTCACGTGCTCCTGCGTACACCAGTCAACTGGTCACCGTGCCTGCAGGGTACAACTTACTAGCGTGTTTGACCTTTTTTGGGTGCAGTCCTGTCACTCGAGTTGAACTCGAGTTGAACCTTGGTGTGAAAGTTGTCGCCTGCTGGCGTGGTGACCAGGTGATTTGGGCACCCAGGAGCACGTGACCGCTTGTTCAACCATGTTCGATTGGGAATAAAGGAGGAACGCTGCATCGCAGCCTTTTCGGACCAAAACCAGTTGACTCAGCGTCCAAAAGAGAACAACATATGGGCCAATCGCGGTCATCCGTGCTTTTATAAGAACGAAATGGCGATTTTAGTGACATTTTGCATACAAATCCCCATCTAGTAGGGCGCAGTCACCCAGTTTCGGTGGAAGTGCGCGAGTTCGATTGGGATTCAAGTAGGAAGGGAGCGTCTCAGCTTTCTCGGACCAAGACCATCCGACTCAGCACCCCGAAGACTACACCTGGTGAAATTTTAATTTTTGCCTTAACTTCCCCTTTAATCGAGGATAGGCTAAGGAAATAGATCAAGTGAGAGAGAGATGTAGATCTACATGTACCGTAAAGTATCGCCAGAGCGCCCCACCATCTCGTCCTTTCGTGGTCATATTGTGGAGGTGATTTCCCACCTGTAGGTCCTACGACACGAACCTTGTACACACATCGCACGCTGTGCACTCAATCCGTACTCGATTTGCCTTCGAGCGGACATGAGCTCCACACAAAAACCTGCCAAGTGTTACCTTAGTACACTAAAGTTCTCACACCGCACAAATTTCGTTGCATTGTGCCACACGAATTTCCTTTCCCTGGCTGTAAAATCAAGGTGGGGCGCTCTCGCGAGACGGGGCGCTCTGGCGGTACTTTACGGTAATAATTATAACGTAGCGTTGCAATAAAACCCGCCCTTTAGTTATTGTTAAACAGACACCCTTGAGCTTGGTGAAGCGGAAAACCGGAAACTGCCCTTTCAGGATTCCGCTTGATCCAGGGATGCACGCTCGAAACACAGCACTTATCTTTGGCGCATGAAGATTTGTCCGGTCAATACAGGATTCCACTTGGTACACCGGGGTCCGTCAAACACAGGGTTTACTGTTTTACAGTCAGAAGACCTATATTCTGACTGTGCATGCTTTCGGGTAGCGCCAATCTCTATGGAGGTACAGACCCTTCACAGAAGAGGTGCTGTTTCCCCAATTTTTAAAAGTTGCTCTGGCTCTGGCATCCTGTAATACTGTACTAGGTATCAGGCTGTTGAATGTCTCGGCACCCATTTTCACTATTGGTACTTCAACACCAGAGTTTTGAGATATCATTACATTTACAGCAACGATGTAAAACCATAATCACATGGAATGGGTAACAGGACAAAGCAAGGAGAATGGGAAACAGGACAAAGCAAGGAGAATGGGTAACAGGACAAAGCAAGGAGAATGGGTAACAGGACAAAGCAAGGAGAATGGGTAACAGGACAAAGCAAGGAGAATGGGTAACAGGACAAAGCAAGGAGAATGGGTAGCAGGACAAAGCAAGGAGAATGGGTAACAGGACAAAGCAAGGAGAATGGGTAACAGGACAAAGCAAGGAGAATGGGAAACAGGACAAAGCAAGGAGAATGGGTAACAGGACAAAGCAAGGAGAATGGGTAACAGGACAAAGCAAGGAGAATGGGTAACAGGACAAAGCAAGGAGAATGGGTAACAGGACAAAGCAAGGAGAATGGGTAACAGGACAAAGCAAGGAGAATGGGTAACAGGACAAAGCAAGGAGAATGGGTAACAGGACAAAGCAAGGAGAATGGGTAACAGGACAAAGCAAGGAGAATGGGTAACAGGACAAAGCAAGGAGAATGGGTAACAGGACAAAGCAAGGAGAATGGGTAACAGGACAAAGCAAGGAGGATGGGTAACAGGACAAAGCAAGGAGAATGGGAAACAGGACAAAGCAAGGAGAATGGGTAACAGGACAAAGCAAGGAGAATGGGTAACAGGACAAAGCAAGGAGAATGGGTAACAGGACAAAGCAAGGAGAATGGGTAACAGGATAAAGCAAGGAGAATGGGTAACAGGACAAAGCAAGGAGAATGGGTAACAGGACAAAGCAAGGAGAATGGGTAACAGGACAAAGCAAGGAGAATGGAGTACTGCGTTGTGATGATAGAAGAGAACTCCCTCCCCCGACCAGTGGCCTCAGGTTCACGTGCAAGTCCAGGTAGTCTCTGTGCTACAGACAGTAACCGCGTCGCCACCACAGTCCACAGCGCTTGCAATAAGCGATCGAGTGACAAGGCTGGACTGGTAACTTCTACTCGAAGTAAGCAAAATCCAGCCTTGTGAGTCTGCCCCCCCCCCCCCCCCCCCCACTCCCCACACACACACACACTCCCACAGTTGTGCGGATCTACACACCTGCAAGCACTGGGCTGTGTAACGGTGCAAGGATCTTAGCTTAGGTTTTGGGCCGATTTCATTTTTAAAGCACAAATGTAGCAGAGCAGCTCCCAGTCCTACTGTCTGTGTAGCTCAAGTTTTGTTCAGCACGCATGTTTGTCCCTGTGCACGCATGTTTGTCCCTGTGCACGCATGTTTGTCCCTGTGCACGCATGTTTGTCCCTGTGCACGCATGTTTGTCCCTGTGCACGCATGTTTGTCCCTGTGCACGCATGTTTGTCCCTGTGCACGCATGTTTGTCCCTGTGCACGCATGTTTGTCCCTGTGCACGCATGTTTGTCCCTGTGCACGCATGTTTGTCCCTGTGCACGCATGTTTGTCCATGTGCACGCATGTTTGTCCCTGTGCCCGCATGTTTGTCCCTGTGCACGCATGTTTGTCCCTGTGCACGCATGTTTGTCCCTGTGCACGCATGTTTGTCCCTGTGCACGCATGTTTGTCCCTGTGCACGCATGTTTGTCCCTGTGCACGCATGTTTGTCCCTGTGCACGCATGTTTGTCCCTGTGCACGCATGTTTGTCCCTGTGCACGCATGTTTGTCCCTGTGCACGCATGTTTGTCCCTGTGCACGCATGTTTGTCCCTGTGCACGCATGTTTGTCCCTGTGCACGCATGTTTGTCCCTGTGCACGCATGTTTGTCCCTGTGCACGCATGTTCGTCCCTGTGCACGCATGTTCGTCCCTGTGCACGCATGTTCGTCCCTGTGCACGCATGTTTGTCCCTGTGCACGCATGTTTGTCCCTGTGCCCGCATGTTTGTCCCTGTGCCCGCATGTTTGTCCCTGTGCACGCATGTTTGTCCCTGTGCACGCATGTTTGTCCCTGTGCACGCATGTTTGTCCCTGTGCACGCATGTTTGTCCCTGTGCACGCATGTTTGTCCCTGTGCACGCATGTTTGTCCCTGTGCACGCATGTTTGTCCCTGTGCACGCATGTTTGTCCCTGTGCACGCATGTTTGTCCCTGTGCACGCATGTTTGTCCCTGTGCACGCATGTTTGTCCCTGTGCCCGTATCTGTTTCCAGGGTCCAGCAAGTGAGAATTTTTCCTCAAGCAAAATGGCAATAGAGCGGTTGGACCACAGTTTGCCAGAGTCTCCACGCATTGAATATGTGAATGCGTGCGACATCTCTCCGAGGCCGCTGATGCAGGATGTGGCCAATGAGCTGCAGAAGTACCGCACTACAAAGGCGGCCAAGAGAAAGCAAGGCATCACTCCGAACACTGCAAAAGGAAAAGCTCCCAGCGGCAAATCAGCAACAACCACACCCGCCAAACGCCAATCACAAACCGAGTCACACGGTGTAGATGTCACAACAAGTGCATCTACTACATCCGTGCACACTACACCGCCTCACAGCTCAGCTGACGCCCTTGCTGACGCCGGCTTTGCAACAGCCAGTATGGCCAGTTTGGCGGAGGATGCCGATTACCAGGAATACGTAGTAGTACCCAGCAAGCCTGGACAAAACACAGCCGCAGATCGCGCTGCGCACACGGCGGACCCGAAGAAACCGGCTGCTGCCACGGGAAATATCAGTACCGGGGGAAAGCTCCGAGACGTGAAGCTTGACAGGGAGCTGAAGACTGGCAGTGTCTTCTTGCCCACACCCATCAGTAAGCATGCTCCAAGGGAGGATGGAGACCGCCAAACTACTCTACTAGCTAAAAACACTTCAGATAAGCACAGCGGATCAGTGCCAGTGAAAAACACAGACCAGGAAGAGGAGTTCAGTGCTAGTTTAGCCGAGGCTCCGTCAAGCTTTCAAAATAATCCGCCGCCAGTGAACAATGCTACTCCCCTTGACAAGACAATAACAGCAAATAATCTTAGCAGCGACGGAGATGGAGAGGAGAACAATGTGTCTCCAATGGAAACCAACGGCCCTGCTGTTACGGATGAAGCATCTGTTACAGGTATGCCTTTGTATGCGCTTCACAGTGTGCTGGCACTAGATACGTCAATGTGTACTCCAGATCTTTCTAGTATGACTGTGTCATGTGTGCCACATAACTGTGTTACTGTAATTATTGCTGCAATATCGTCATTGACTTGCTGTATGTACGATCTCCAGTGAATGTTGCTTGTCCACTTGTCCTGTGCCTTGGCTCGTAGGTGTGTGTATGCATGTATGTGTGTGTACGTGTGTACGTGTGTGTGTATGTGTGTGGTGCGTGCATGCATATGTGTGGTACGTGCGTGTGTGTGTGTGTGTGTGTGTGTGTGTGTGTATGTGCGGGTGTATGTGTGTACTTGTATGTGTGTGCATTCATGTGTGTGTGTGTGTGTGTGTGTGTGCGTGCGCGCGCGCGCGTGTATGCGCACACACACGTGCATTGCTACAAACTGTGTTGTGTTTGATATCAACGCCACCTGCTTTAGATCCAAGCCCGAAGAATCTGGAACCGAGCCATAGTGAACACAGTGGTGATGACAGTGGTGATTGTACAGCTCCGGAGCTGGATTGCTGCCGTGCTAATCCCGAAGCCAGTGATCAGCCTACAGCCAGTGGGCAGTCTATAGCTAGTGAGCAGTCTACGCCCAGTGAGCAGTCTACACCCAGTGAGCAGTCTACGCCCAGTGAGCAGTCTACACCCATTGAGCTGTCTACACCCAGTGAGCAGTCTACACTCAGTGAGCAGTCTACACCCAGTGAGCAATCTGCACCCAGTGAGCAGTCCACAGACAGTGAGCAGTCTGCAGCCAGCGAGGCATCTACAGCCAGTGAGCAGTCTACAATGGTGTGTTTGGAAAGTGAGAAAGCTGCTGCTGTATGTGACACACCTACTGTGGCTAGCCGGAGCAGAGCATCAGATGCGGACCTGCATAACAGATCAACTTCTACACTGGCTGAGAAGCCAACTCCCAAAACCTCTGATGTAAATGTTCAGCTCACGACAGCCGGCCAAGGCACCGCATCTGATGCAGAACTGGACACAAACTCAACATCAGTGTCCAAAGAGAAGTCAGCACCGGCAAAGCATCATGACGCTTGCTACACGACAGGGGGGTCAGCATCGATTGCTTTAGACATCAAGGCAGATATCGTCGATCCTGGATGGGTGGCAGTATCGCAGGTGCGTGATGATGAGACTTGTGAACAGTCTGCGGAGAGTATAGGGCAGTCAGATGATCACTATGCACAGAGCACTGAGCACCCGAACAACACAGTAGTGCAGGAGCAAGACCAAGGTGCATCGAAGCCTGAACACGGTGTCACGCAGGCTGGGGTGGCGCGCTGGATCTCGGTGACAGGACGTGGAAGCGGTGACGAGTCCAGTGCCGTGGATCAGCCAGTTCCATGCCACTCAGAAGGCCGTCTTTCCAGACCGGTACAGGATCACGAAGGTCAAGCAACTCCGAGGCTGGACACAGCGGTGCTGGAGCATTGCGAAGCGCAAGATGCCGTCGCATCGTGGCTGGACGGCACGACACGAGTGAGACATGTTCGTGTGGATCTGCTTGGCCAGTGGCCCGCGGACAAAACAAGTCTACTGCGCGTACTGCTTGACCAACCTGCAGCAGACACCAGTATCAGCGTTAGTGGGATGGAGGAGAAGGTCTGCCTGTTAAGTACCTCACGTACAGGACATGTGACCATTGGTCAGCCCACCAGCCAAGCACTCACACAAGAAGACGTCTTCATTGCCAGTGAGTTACCGCAGCTAGTCGATCGATTGCACAACATCTCGCTCACGTCTAAAGGCGGACTGGTGGATGGGCTTGAACCACAGCAAGACAGACAGTGTGGTGAATCTAGTCCCTTGCCCGATGTCAGTGCGAGTGCCAGTGATGTCCAGGGCGCGGGAACTGTGTGTGACAGTGTGCCCGAGCAACCGCTGCTGGTGACGAAAGAAGCATGGCAGGAGTCTACGGTGCCCAATGGCGTGTTCAAGCCTGTTTACTCACTTCATGCACATCACCATCACCATCATCATCATGACCACACTGCTGCATCTACTCAGTCGCACTCCCCTTCCGGCCAGACACCATCGCCACCCGCCGGTCTTGGTCTTCACCTGGACGTATTGGCGGAGAGGCTCAAACATTCATCTGCGCTACTGCGACAGGTACGCGATGACGAAGTTATACTCTCTTTCTGGGACAGCGGCGGGCAGCCTGTTCATGAACCAATCCTTCAGGCACTCTCCACCAGCGCAGTGGCAATCAAAGTACTCGTCTTCCAGGCCGACGAACAGCTCGACTATGCACGGCCGCAGACAATGCGCCTCGGAGGACGAGAACGCCTTCTGGCCGTGACGCCAGCGCGGAGTACCATTGATCACGTTTGCCATCAGTTGCTGTCCACACACTTCTCGGCTCAGTGCACTGCAAGAGGCATGGCTACCCAATACCATGACGAGCCTCAGCAGCAGGAGCACGGACCGAAGCTTCCACCGACCATCTTAGTCGGCACGTTGGCTGGCAAAGCTGCTGATGATTTGAAGCAACGGGAGGAGCAAATCTTCCACAGGCTGCGCAACCGACTGGAACATTTCAGTGCCGTGGAGCACTGGAGCTCCTTTGACGATGGCTCCGGGCAGCGCACTCGTATCCACCTCATTGATGACATGAAGCCAAGCCAGCCTGCGGCATGCAGTGAGCAGCCAGCTGCTGTTCAACGACTGAAACAGCACATCAAACAGGAGGTTTCTCGAGTCCTGCGGAGCTCCGGTGTCGAGCCTGGCTGTAGGCAGGTGAGGAAACGGTGGCTGGTGTTTGAGCGTATCGTCCGGAAGATGAGACTTGCACGGTGTCAAGCATCTCCCTCCGCCTCACCCAGCTCAGATCGTCTTCAGCCAGGCTATATCAGCCGGGACAGGCTTTATCAGCTTGTAAAGGAACCATGCGATCTCAGAGACGAGGCAGAAATGACAGCGGTGCTAGACTATTTCCACGAACACGGCGTGATTGTATACTTTAGCGAGTCACGCTGCCCTCGACTTGCTGACCTGGTCATATACAACGTTCAGTGGTTTGTCCGGCATGTGGTAGCCTTCAACGGCGCTGTGGATATCTTGCCATGTCTTTCGCACTGGTGGAATCGCCTTCACAGCTTTGCCGAGTTGCACTGGTCGCTGATCGGTGCTGTGTGGCAGGACATCACGGATCAAGCAGTCCAATGCAAGCTGCTGCGCATGATGGAACTGCTCGGTCTTGTCTTCCCCTGGTATGAAGGCGAGGTTCACGAAGCTGTCAACGAGGAGAGCAGACCGAAGTTCTACTTCATGCCATGTGCACTGCTGAGTGATCCATCGGAAAGCGCGACTGCCGCTACGTCACATATTGGGAGCGATGCTGACGGCCTAGACCGCGATGCACTGCTCGACGAAGGAGAGACGACACTGTGCACGGACCGCACGCCACTCTGCGTCGATCTGGCCACCGACTCTGGCAGCGGACCACTGTTCAAAGAGGCCACGCCGTATAGCATTTTCTTCCGGCTTGTGACGGGTCTGATGAGCCGTTGGCGGGAGCCCGGAGTTCAACCAAGCCTACGCAGCTCCAGGGCAACTCTCTGCTATCCGAACGAGCCGCCTGTAGATGTTGTTCTGACCTACGATCTACCTTCTGGTTCTATCCACGCCGCCGTCAAATGGTTCGTCAAGCGAATGCACCGCGGCAAGCCAGGTTGGACTAGTCCCATCTCCCGTGCCTGTGTCAACGTTCGCCGATGCATCGAAGCTGAATTGGACGACATCAAAGCCAAGATCGGAGTGCCCTGCCTCAAGTTCAACTTGACCGTGGCCATCCCGGCTAAGTGTACCTGCGGCCGCGGGCCTACTGTCAGACCTAAGAAATCGGGCAACATGCCTTCAGTTGTGTCCTGTTTCTACTGTGCGAGCCACCAGCGCGTGCCAAGCAATGCCCAGTGCTGGTTTGACGAAACAGCACCATTTGAGGTAGGTGTCTTGAAGCTACATGTATGTGTACACCATTTACAGATTATTGCAGACATGGGGGTTCCAACGTCCAAGGGAGACAACAATTTCACATCAAGGCGGTCGGCCGTGTTCTGTTTGCACACTGATAACATTGAAGACACTCCTCTTGTGATTGTCACTTGCCCAGCATAGTTCTCCATGTTCCCCATTTTTTCCAGCCTGTACCATCTTGAAATAGTTCTTCTACCTCTGATACATGCGCTCTCTGGCCGACCTAGCTCACACAAGCAATATGACTGCAAGCAGCCCCAGTTGGACATTCTTGGATCGCACGTTTTGAAATCGTGACTGAGCTGTGCTGGTTTATCTGTAACACTGTGCATCACGGTGCACTCAGTGCAGGTATTCCGAGATACTAGTTCCTTAGCTGGTTGTGTTTCTCAACACAATTGTATAGTCAGTTGTAACACTGACATGCGAATTTACTTTTTTTAAACTTTTATGTATGCAGGCAATGCCAGGCTGCATAATAAACCTGACACAGCCAACACCATGAGTTTGAGGAATTGGATATTCTAGGCATGTTGTGTAAACTCGACACCCCGTGATTTAGTTTTGTCCATTTTTAACTCAGTCCAGTGCTGTTGTAATGACTGACTAGACGCCCTATGAACATCTTCAACCAATTCATTGTGTGCGTGTTTTGTTCTCATTGCTGCTGGCGCTGTAGGTGACTGCGGAAAGTTTGGATCCATCAGGATCTTCAGTAGCTCTGGCGTAAGTTGCACGTCCATGCAGATTGTCCGAACAACACACTTCACCCAAACTTCTCAGTGTGCCCTTTGTCCGGTATTGTGTGATCTCCTTCTTGCCGCTTGTCGCTGCACTTTCAGCCGGGAACACTTTGAACCTGCCCTGGCAAGAGTGAAACTTGTTGAAAACCTGGATTTAAGCCCGCAGACCCTGGGAAATGCTAGTCCAGATAATCGAGGTGCCGGATAGTGTATCTCCAGGAGTACAGTAAAACCTGGTGTAAGCGACCTCTGTGTTTAGCGACCACCTGCTCTTAACGGCCGTTTTTCCATGCACCGACAGTTCTACACAGACACTGCGGGACCTGGTTCTAAAGACCACCTGACTTTAACGACCGCTTTTGCTTGCCCCGTGGGGTGGTCGCTTAAACCAGGTTTTACTGTATGCTGCTACTGAATCATCGGTAACAACAATTTTGCACCTTTTCGCAGCTGAAAAGGGGATATGAGTGAATCATATGACTCACCGTTGAGGATGACTTACATGTACTTCTCGATTGAGTACATCACACAATTTAAATAGCATGGCAGAGACCTGCACATGGAAGTGGAACAGCATTTTTGTCTTGAATCTTCTCTTGCATTTCAGACCAGGAACACCGATTGTGGACATCCCCAATCTCAGCAGCCTAGCCATAGAAGTGAACAATGTCCTGGTCGATGCCAAACGCAAGGAGCTGTGGCGTCGCATCGTGTGCGACGTTCGCGGTTCGGCTCACAACGCGGTGCAGATTCTTGCAGACTATGCTGCCGAGAAGGGCGTGGCACCCATGCACGGAGCGCTGTGCTACTGGTGGGAGCTGACGTGGCCGCGACGTGACCGAGCCACGCTGGGAACACTGTACCACTTTGTGGAGCAAGACGCCGGAGTGGGGATAGCTGATCGACTGCGTGGCACCATATCTCTGGTAAGACCGTGAGTGACCTCTTCACAACCCCTGAAGCTAAGAATAGCTGTCAAGAAACTTCCTTCTTGTAGTACAGACAACTTCGCTAATAAGTTATAATAACGACTGCGGATATAACGACAGTTCGCTAATAACGACAGAATTTCCATGCCCAGAGCAAAGTCCCATCCAACTGTAATACATAATTATAATGAGACTTCGGGTATAAGGACACTTCGCGAATAAGGAGACTTTTCTGATGCCCCTCTGAGTGTCGAAGTTGACGGTATTCATTTGTAGTCAATTCAAGAAAACAGTAAGCGCACAGATTGCGGCCAGTTTTCACGCTATTGGTCTTGGTGGCAAGCAAGTTGATGCAAGCAACACTGCCTTCATACTCCGACGAGTACTAGTATTCGTTTGTTATTCACCTTTGTTTGCCTCTGCTCAGATGAAGACATGATGGCGGACAGGCAAGCAGGCAGGCAGCAGTTTGAATGTGTAGCAGTGTAGATCACCCACAGCTCATGAACTACTACTGGTCTGAATCAGGGTCTTGTCGATGCTCTTCAACGGGATGATCATTGGCACAATGCCAAGCCGGCAGGAACTGGCTGACGTGCGTGCACTGTCCGCATTGGGTGACTATCGTGGTAGGGCAGTGCTCAGCATGCACCCGTAGTAATGGGTGTGTTTGAGACGAGTGTCTTGATCTGCTTCTGTGGCGATGCCGCTAGCTTTGATTTGGCACAATACAGGTGTGCCGCACAGTGTTCAGCCACTACTAGCATACTGGTGATACCGGTAACTATGACGGAAGTCGATTTGTTGTGTCTGTCATGTCTTGACCGAGCCATCGTGTTTCCTATCGTGAATGTACATTGTACACGGTAGCAACACAAGGCCGTCCGTTGCCCTTGCTCCTCAGTCCGCGGAGCTGTTCTGCACAGATTTTAAAATTAATTATCTTTCAGTACCAGTTGATTAATAACGTTGTTTTTCCCAAGGCCTGTTGAGGCGCTGAGGCAATTGACTGTAATGCTTGCTAGGTCTGGATGAGGGTTGTTCACTTCTGTCTTTTTTCCACGGCCCGGGGACTAAATGAAGCTGCTGTGGCTCGAACTGTTGTAGCGCATTATATACTTTTTAAATTTAGTGTTCATATGAAGGTGCTTGTCTCACAGCCCGATTCTAAACTGGTATTTAAACTATTTATGCTTCTTTTTACTCACTCATGCTGTTTCGTTCTTTGTGAACTCATCAGCGCAGCACAGAGGAAATGAGGCCGAACCTGATAGCAATGAAAATAAAAATTTCCAATCAGGCCCGAACGTACCTTGCCAGAGTGCTCAAACTGACAAGTCAGTGAGCTCTGCGTAATGCAAACAGCAACGGCACTACCCCACTATGCTTCTTTTTATTAGTTTTCACCTTACATTCCCTGTGCACGGTTGCTGCCAAAGATATTGTATTGAATACGCATGATACTAGTGAATACATGTACTGTAAAAGCAGAAATTTTCGGTGGCGTTTTATTTTCGGTAACTTACTTCGGTGCCGAAATTTTTACCGAAAATAAGACGCACCGAAAATGCCGGTATAGTACTAGTACACTTACCTGGAACGCGGGTTTACCGAAAATTTCCCTCCGCCGAACCGCCGATTTTGGAGAATGCCGAAAATATTACACCACCGAAAATTTCTGCTTTTACAGTAGTAGTCATCACACTGATAGTGAAGATCTCGTACTCGTTCCAAACACTCGTTGCTAAGACAAGTTGGTCGGGCTATACGTATTACTGCAATGGCTAGTGAAACTGTCCGCGCAGGTCCGGGCTCGCTAACCCCCTGTCCCGAGCTAGGTTGCACATGCCAGTGCAGGGCTTGGGAAAGGTGTGTGTGTGTGTGTGTGTGTGTGTGTGTGTGTGTGTGTGTGTGTGTGTGTGTGTGTGTGTGTGTGTGTGTGTGTGTGTGTGTGTGTGTGTCACGTGTGTGTGTGTGTGTGAAACTAAGGGGTCCAAAAAAGGCATCTCAGGCTCAACTGGGGTTGCAAGGATAGAGTGAAACGGCCTAGATTTTCCCAATTCGGTGCTTTTGGAGCAAAATCTGGCTGAAATCTTATTCTTGTTACGGTTTTTTTTTTGGAGAAATAGACTTCAGAAGGAAGAGCATTCCATCATGTTCCATAGGGGGTTGCGGAAAAAATTCTAAAAAACTCAAAATTTGACCCATTTATGGCCAAAAGCCAGAGAAGCTACAACAAGTACTACAAGTACAAGTAATTAGTTAGTACAACACAACAAGTACTTGTAGAACGGTCCATCTTTTTTATGACTCAGCTGTTTAAAAAAAACGGTCAGCTAGCTGCGCTGTTGCATGTACATATATGTACATCAGGCTAGGGACAGTACAGGGAGTCGTAAAAGCTAGTTTTACTAACTAAGTTAGTAAAACCAGGGAGTCGTAAAACTAAAAGTTACTTTTAGTTTTACGACTCCCTGATGTACAGTACGATGCAGCGTCAGAAGCAACGTCATTGATGAAGAAGGCCAATTCCAAGGGGACTTTCGCCGAAAAGTCCCGCGTATGGCAAGCGACACGTATCAAGTGTATGACGAGTAGTGACTAGTACTACAGTGCAAGAGTACAATCATGATCGTATGATTCGTAGGCCTACTCTTCGTAGTCTGATTCTAGCGGTCGAACTCGTTGAGTCTACGAGTTGTATCGGTCGCTAGCGCGCTGTCACCACTGCCACTGGTCACAGCACTAGCCAGCACTAGCAGCCTCGCTCACCGCACGCGCACCGCTGAGGCTGTTGACGTAAAGTAGTGCAGTTCAACTGCTACTAGAACGCATGACATAGGGACGAAAAGTTCCTGCACCGACATTATTTCGGAAAGGAAGTTTTGTTTGTTCCCTCACGCTCGAAAACAGACTGACCGTAATGCGTGCACTAAGAAGATTCGCAAAAAGACCAGAAAGGTGAGGGTTGCCTGTGTATCTGCCATGGCGGCGCTCTCGTGCTCCGGTGAGCAATCATGATCGTTTCATTCTAGAAGTGAAAATTCTGCATCGCCGCACGCGAACACCAGGCCAGTTCCAACGCAGTCTCACTACCAGGAAACAATGGTGTTCCTAATATTGATTCAAGATGTACACAGGGATGAGCTGAAGCGGTTCCATGGCGGGGAAGAGTCCTCGTTACAACGGCGAAGCTTGAAGGCTGGCGAAATCGGCTTGCAAATGAGCAGTTCTGGAAGTACCGTAACCATTGCAATGCTTGATTTCACTCCAGCGGGTGCAGAAGTTTCGGTAGCGAAGTACACAACTAAAGAGCTGTCGGAGAAGGTTGCCAATTTACTGCGGGCAAGCAGTGATCCGAAACTCCGCCTTGAGCTATTCCTCTCCCGCACTCGCCTGGAAGGAGCTCAAGATATTGGTGACGGCAAGGCTGTGCGCTACAGAAGGTATAAGTACACTGGTACGTTCGATATTCCCGGTATGGTGATCAGCGCAGGGCCTGCCCAGGGCAAGCATGGAACCTGGTTCACAGTGGAGATTCTGGTGAGCTATCATCTAGGACAGGGCCGGGTGTGATGAAGCAATGGCCCAGTGATGGGTCAGTTCAGATCAGAGAATCGTTGCCGCGTGATCTGGGGAGACTGTCGGCACGAGCAGGTGGAATTGTAGGGTGAAGCAATGTGGGTCTTGCTCCCAAACTGCTCGTTCTGGTCGCTTTGGTCATGGGGCAGGGCTGAGCTGTGATGATCGGCTGGTCTGGGCTACGTTCAGGGTCAGTAACGGGCCACGCAGCCGTAGATCACAATCGTATAGTGCACGGGACCATGGATCATGCGTAGCTTCCAAGCGGAGTCGTGGCTATGTGGACAGTTGCAGATGTAATGGTCATGTGTTGGCTCCCTGGGTGCTATGAATCCCCATCCCTCCCCTTTCATGGCGATTTTACGCGCAAAGGAACTGTTGTAATGGGGAATTTATGACCTTCCCGAAACATGCTCGGCCAGAATCCTCTGCCTGGGGGTGTGAATTGCGCCATGCATGAGCAGCCATATTTCTGAGTAGTTTCATTGCTTGTATAGGACACCTATAATGTAGTGTATGATACACAACACAACATTATTCATCATTTATAAATCCAATTATCAACCCAGATTCATCTGGCCATCATCCATCCAACCATCTAGCCACCCATCTATATTTTCAAGCACTTGATCTATTTGTTCATCTTACAGTTTGTTGTGTGTGCCGTGTGTGTGTGTTGGTACGATCTGCTTGTTCACAACAGGGACAGAAGAATGATAGCTTTGACACAGAGGCAAAGGAACTCGCTCTTAGAATGCGAAAGGCACCGACACCGATTCTGGCCTCTGCGTTCGACCTCGCCATTCACCCGTTTCTGCAGCCTGTCGTCGATAGGCTTCTGGCTCACCGCGACACCGCTGCAAATGCTCGGGGCAATGCGGCAGAACAACCGGCTTATCGAGGTGTCATTACCAGAGGCATGTCCGCTTTGGGATTTGGCAGAGCCAGTGATAGTGGCAACAGCTCCGAACGCCAAGTTGTCATTAACAAACGGCTGTGCGTGCTGACAACAGACGGAGACATTGTTGCAGGCGTAATACGCTGGAAAGGAAACGTTGCTGGCTACGGAGAGTGTGTGGGATTGGAAATGGTAAGGGAATATTCTTATGACACCAGCCGACCCTAGTGACTGTAGTGTACCTTCACGTATTGGAAGTGGGGGTGCCATTCTCTAGACTCTGTCGCCGTGTGTTGAAATCCGCACTACTGGTGTATGTACACGGACAGTGAAACCTGTCTAAGGCAGCTATTTTAATACACAGAAACCATATACAGTCAACTTCGCGTATAACGACACTCGGCGGGGCATCAGAAAAGTATCCTTGTTCGCGAAGTGTCGTTATACCCCATGTCTCATATGTATTACAGTTGGATGGGACTTTGCTCTGGGCATGGAAATTCTGCTACGGTCGTTATTCGTGAATTGTCGTTATATCCGCAGACGTTATTAGCGAAGTTGACTGTATGTTTAAAAAAACGTAATTGTAATGGTCTCTGTGTACAGGCGGTAGGCTTCCTTATCCAGAGTCACGCATGTGGACATGACATCAGTCCTGGTTGTGATACGTTGCCCTGTAGGACAGGTGATCACCTTATCAGAGTGCCAGTTGGTTGCCGCGACGGGCTTTACTATTGTGCATCACGGTATGCCTTGGGTATTTGCTGTAGAACATCCTGAAAATGTGATATGACTGCCCACTGTGAAAGAAAACGCGTGCCTTTGTGTGTACAAGGCCTGAGAACCTCTTCGTGACCGTGCATGAATGTCACCCAGCTAGCTTGTTGTATATTTTACTTCGCAGATTCTAACGGGCAGGTTGCCCAATAACAAGAAAATGAATGACGAGAAAATAATAATAAATGAAATACAGGGCGAAAGAAAATGAATAACATAATAGCTTTAAAAGAGAAGAAAAAAGCAGGTGGTACAGCCGTGTTCCTATTCTGAATTCCCTGAACGGAGCAGGGTTATTCTGAGCTGGATACATGTAACTATTACACAGCAGCACAGCAGCAAGAGAGCTACCTCGGTCGACATCAGTGAACGTAGACTAACTAGACTACGAGTGGATGCGAGAGCAAAAGTGACTGTTAGTAGGCATGGCCGTGCGGGTGTGCCAATTATGACAACAAATCGAATAACGGCTGATACGTTTCTATTGTATCTGGTGACTGTACCGTTGATTCGCCCCCTCTCTAATTCCCGCCCCCTGTCGATTTTCTACTTTTGAAGCGACTTCGGCGTATACAACGAAAAACGATGTTGAACCGACGCATGCACTGCTGTACACAATACGTGCCAATCCAGGATGAAAATGTGCACAATTCAGCACATCGAGTCTGATCCTCGACATTGTTGTACATCGTACTGCACTTGACAGCCTTGATCTAATTCCCGCCCCCTGCCGCAAACCCAGCTGGGAAGCGACATGGCGTGGGGGGGGGGGGGGGGGGATCAACGGTATTTTACGGTACATGCGCATTGGAGGGTTGAGTGAGTTCTTGTAGTGGTGCATATTGTGTGCTGTCATGGCTGTGATCTCACATTTCACCAGATCAGACAAATTCGTATACAGTCCTGACCAGTGAGGTTCAACCTCGTGAATAAAGTAGCTGTGTGTTGGCGAACAGTGCTAGAGCTTTGTAGTGCCCAGTGCCTATTACACCACTATACGCTGTCAACGGGATCGAATTTCACTGGCCTGTGCTTTACTTGCTGATGTCCTCAGTCCCAGTAACTCAACAACTCGGAATGTTCACTAGTTCTCGTCCTGAATAATCGTTGAGGAGACAGTACATGTAAAATGACAATGAATAAAACTAATTGTGCAGTCGTAACGGTGTAAAAGGGTATAAATGATGTAAAAGGGTATAAATGATGTAAAAGGGTATAAATGATGTAAAAGGGTATATAAATATGATTATAGTACATACATGTATAGTTTCGAAAATGTTTTATGTGATCATCATCAGTGGACATTCGCCATGCAATTAGGAATAACCAAAACAGCCAATACAGTATACTACATATAGTTGACATGTTTATCACCTGATGAGTGCCTGAGATGGCATGAAACTTTAAGTTGTGACTGATCAGGCCATCTGTTGTTCTGACTAGTGTGTCACGGCTCTACCTTCCCGGTATCGAGCTCTCTTGGATTTCTGCTGGAATTCACAACAGTGTTGACATTTAAGGTACTAGTTATACTCTGGTGGAGAGGCAAGGATTAATTTATAAGAAGAAAAGAGGACCAAAGAGCTACATGTTACACTAGAATATCCACTAACGCCATCGGTTACTTTACTTCGAAGTACAATCAATTTGTTATTTCTATAACTTAGAGCCGGCTTCCAAGTTGGAAGGCTGTTGGAGTGTGCATCCGAGATGTGCTAGAGCCGATTGCCAGTTACGTTTAGAACGTCAGTACCATTGGTCAGTGTCGTGCAATGTCACCGCAGGAGCTGATTGTAAAGTAACCAGTGGTGTTAGTGGATGTTTAGGGAGTTTTCGTCTTATTCTTATTTATCCTGCAGGATAAGCCAGTATCGACATTTGAAGTTGAAGATCCTCTCACTGTGCGGAACTGCCTGTTAGATTGTCCAGCTGATCGTCGACTCTTCAGACCAGTCAGCACCCTACTGCCGTTTGAGGAATTGCAAGCGGCCAAACGCCGCTCGGCGGCCCATGGGCGTGAGAACGACGATGGCGTTGTCTGTGGACAACCAGAAAGATCTGTGCCATCACATCCTACAGCTAGTGCGGATGATCACGTTATGGCTATGGAGGCCAGTGCATTTGGAATGACTGCCGCGGAGATTCGCTCCGAGCAAGAAGAGTTCTTTGCTCGGT